GAAGGTGCCGTTGCTGCCGGGCGCTCCCAGGGCCACTCGGCCCTCGTATCTCCCTTGCACGTAGCCGCGGCCGTCGGCCACCAGCGCGCAGCCGCCCCGGCCCAGCTTGCACCATGCGGGCCCCGCGTGGCCGCCGGGCGGGCAGTGCACGGCCACGGAGCCACCGCGGGGACCCCGCACCAGCTGCGCCGGCCCCGGCGCCCGCCCGGCTGCGCAGAGGAGCGGCACCATCAGGACCTGCCTCCCTCCCACCATCACCACCACCATCATCATCACCACCACCATCATCATCGTCGTCCCCCGCAAGGCGCTGCGCGGCCGGACCCACCTGCCCAGACGGAGAGGTGCTGGCGCACGAAGAGGCCGGCGCCGGCGGGGCCGATGCCGCAGCGATAGGCGCCCGCGTCGCTGCTCCTCAGCGCCGCGAGCCACACGGTGAAGGCGCCGGTGTGCGGGGCGTCCCGCAGCGCCGCGCGGCCCTCGTAGCCCCGCGCCACGTAGCCGCTGCTGGACACCACGGTGCGGCACGGGCCGCCGCGCGCCTCCTTGCACCAGTATTTCCTCTCGTATTTGTTGGCCGGCGTGCCGGGGTAGAAGCACTGGTGAGTGAGGGAGCCGCCGACCTCGCCCGTCAGGAACCTGGAGCCGTGCAGCACGCTGGAAAGGGCCCCTTTGCAAGGGAGGCAGGAGCGAAGCAGAAGCGGGTGGTCAGTAGCGAGGCTGGGGCTCTCCTGGCGGCACCAACGCGGCCAGGAGAGCAGAGGCGCCGGGGAGCATCGGCACAGCGAGCCTGGAGGAGCCGCCGTCCCCTCCTCGAGCACCTCCGTCCCTGCTCGGGACGGGAGAGACGGTCCCGGCTGCCTCACCTGGTAGCAGGGCCGCGAGGAGCAGGAGAAGGGCCATGTTTGGGTGTCAAACCGCAGGGCGCTGCAGTCAAACAGAAGGGAAGGTCGTGGTGGGGAGGTGCTGGGGACCCCGCGGAGCTGGGCATGTTCCTACTGGTGCTCATGGCGAGTGGAGCGGGGCTCCCAAACCAGGACACATCCTGTGCCAAAGGCAGCTTTAAAAGCCACAGAAGCGCTAACCAACCTGCGAGTTCTCGCGTTACCACTGTGGTGTTAAGGTGCTGAATTCCTCCTGGCGCCGGTCCCTCCTGTGCCAACACGCACGGTGCCCGCCAGCTCTCCTTGTCCCTGCTCACGTGGCTGGAACCCGTCGGAACCGTTGGCAATCGCTCCTTAAGTGCAACTGTCCATCTCCCTCTGCAGCAGTGGGGGGAGGTCACCTCTGGGGGAGCGACGGGCTTCAGGACCACCCGGAGGTCCCGGCCAGCTTGTAATAAAGATTCTTTTAATTCTTTTTTTTTTTCTTTTAGGAGGGTGCCTGGTGCTGCTGTACTGGGTAACTCGGCTGCATCTCCTGCGGCCGTGTGCAGGATCTGCTGGAGCTCATCTGCAGGGATGTGCAGGTAGGAGACGGCTCTGCTGGCTGCAGGAAGCCCAAAACTGGTCCCCGTCCCGAATCGCCTGAGATCGGGGCTAAAATAAAGCGTGTTTGGCAAGAGCTTTCCTACCAGTCTGGCAGTATTGTTGGATTATTGAGCTCCCTCTCTGAGCTCTCGGTGGCTTCTAAGTGACAATATGTAGATAGAACGAGCCTGGAAGGAGGAGGGCAAATCCTTTCCATGTCTACCAGGGCGAGGGGCTAAAGCCCAGCTTTAGGGCGGGGGAGGTTTGGGGTTTGTTTTTATTTTGAAGTTGCCAGCTAGAAGTCCAAAGGAAAAGATAAGAAAGCGAAAGGAAAGAGCCAGAACTTTTAATCCCGGAAATGAAGTTTTAAAAAATTAAGTATTATTGCCTGTATGTTTTTTTCCATCTTCATTCCAGTTCTGTGCTGTGCAAAGGTCTATGCACCATTTTCTGCACCTGTTTAAATTGCTATAACTCCAGCACACAAAGCGTGTGAGCTGCTTGTACAGCCCAGCTGCCTGCAAAGAGGCTCTGTAGAGTTTTGCATGAAAACTTGCCAAGTTTGGACCATTTTGTTGTTCATTTCAAAAAATCAGCTATATCAGGCTAATAGCTATCCAAAAAAAAACATGCTAGCTTTTTAAAGTATATGAATTTCATTTATCCCCACCATGGGTTGTTGATGAGATATGAAAATCCATTAAATAACATAATCAATGCAGTGCGAAGTGTGGAATAGAGCAGAACGCAATTCCTGAAGCAACATCCACGTGCTGTTCATAGAACCTACCAGTCCCATGGCTTGCACAAGAGCATTTTAGTATTGCAAGGGCAAATAGAGAATCACCTACCTTAGGGTTGTGATGAAGCTGCTCTTACTGGAAGTCTCTCCTGCACGGCGCTTCTCTTCGGCCTTATTCTAATGAAGCATTTTGCACCTTGCAACTCAGTTGGTCTTTGCTCTTGATATTTAATTCTCTGTGTATAATTGTATCCAGAATTTAAAAACAAATGCACAAAAATTAGGTGCAGAAGTGCATCATAAAGTGAGTCGGAGGTGCTCAGATTCTTGTAGCATGATGCCCCCAGCGCACTGAACAGGGAACCAAGAACGTCCAGTTTTGTCCACCTAGTGATGTGGATGACCTCAAGAGTGGAAAAAGCGAAGAGGATTGGGGTAGAAGTTGCGAGAGTCGGGAGGAATTCCCCTGCTCTCCCTGCAGCTTTTCAGGTTTTTAACACAGAACAACTTCTTTCTAATCGATGGAAGTAAAATGCTCACAAATAGACTGTGAGCTGCTTCCTATGAGAAGTTGTCACAAAATGCAGAACTTTGTGCAGCTTTCCTTTCTTATTGGCAGAACTTGTGCGGTTTGAATGAATCTGAATGCTTTAACTAGCTCATATCTCTTCGTAAGTCCTTAAAATGAGTGTTCAGACTGTTAAGTGTTTCCTGCACCGCAAGTCCTAGCTCAGAGCTTTCTTTTGCTAGCAAATTGTGAGCAACATCTCGGCTCGGCACTGGAGGAGGAAACAGCAGAGAGCAATTCCGAGGTGGGAATGTGGGATAAAGGCCCAACGCTGCCCTTGGTTTTCATAAGACACAAAGCAACCAATGTGCAGCAGCCCCTTGCAGGCTTCCCGCACTCAAGTGCACGGAGAGCAGCAGCGGTTCCTCTGCAAACCCAGGCTAGGCGGCCAGGGTTACATTTGTGCCAGTGGCAGAGAGCTCTATCAGAGGGTTGCAACACAACGTGCTTGAACGTGCTTTGCCAAGCAGCCAAAGAGATCAAAGTTGAGGAATCAAAGCAGTGCAGCGATACGCGGCCTGGACTTTACTTGAGAATCTCCTCAAGGCCACTTGCCATCCCTGGGGTGATTCATTCCTCTCTACATTCAATCGCAGCGAGCTCTGCTGCTGCACCCTTAAAATTCTTCCATGGGAGGGTTCACTTGTGGCAGCAACTGGGTGGGGAATAGATTCCCGCCCTAGGATGGAGTTGTGTCCGTGGGCTGCAGGAGCGGGGGGGTTGCCAGGGCTGTGGATTTGGTCCATGGAGATGGAGGAGCGGGCGCCACGGGGTGGACGGGGAGGGAAGTGCCAAGGGAGGGAGCTGGGCAGCAATCTGGGTGCTCAAAGGTTGCCCTTGAATGTTTTATTGCCTCCTGGGCGCTTCCCGCGCGGTGCAATGAGGCGCTGCTCCTGCAGAGGGTGGCACCGCCTGGCAGCGCCGCAGGGAAGTGCCACCACGTGGCCACCGCGGCCACTCGCTCCGGCCACCTGGGCACCGGCACCGCGCCTGCACCCAGCTGCGTCCGCGACGGGCCCCTTTGCACCCGCGCTTTAAACGCCGGGAAAGAGGCCGCGCTCGTGGCCGTGGGCGAGCGCTGCCTTCCTCGCTGCCCCGCGGCGGCTCCTGCAGCCCCGGGCGGGCGGCTGGGCTGGGCGCCGCTTTGGCTGCCCCTCCTGCGGACACGGGCTCCGCTGCCGCTCCGGTTTCGGGGTGGGACCTGGCCCCGCGTTTCCCTCACGTGCTCCCCAGGAGCGGGTTTGTTTGCCCAGGGAAGGGCTGCAGGGGCTGAGGCGCACGGCGGGTTTATAACCCGCTGCAACGGGGCAGCGCGGCGGCCGCGGTGCTGCGCGGCCTTACGTGGTGCTGCAAGGACTTAGGAACCCGGAGCCGGGGAAGTGGGCGGCGGGGCCCCGACCCAGTCCGCCCTTCCCGCCTGCTCACGGTCGCCTGTTTCTGAAGAAACCAGCTGCTGGGTTTTATTGTTCTGCAAACACCATTGTCCTTGCACGGGCGGCGGCGGCACTGCCGTGTCCCCGTCTGCTGCAGGGCACAGAGTTCCCCCCGCCGCCCGCGCTCGGTCCATAAGCGCCGGCAGGACAAGAGCGAGCGCAGCTGGGCGGGAGGGAAGCGCCGGGCACCGCTTCCCCAGCGCATCCCGCCCGCACTTCTCCTTTCGCTGAGGAAGAGGCTGGGTGGGGAAGCTGCCTCCCTTCCTGCCCGGGGCACGTGGGGCTGCCCCGTGCCGAGCCCCAAGCCCGGCTCCTGCAGCCCCGCTCGCCCCGTGGCCGCCGCCAGCGGATCCCACCAGCCCGGCCCGGCTGGTTGATGATTAAGCCGCGGCAGGGCAGTGTTCTCGGGAGGCGAGGCGGGGACCTTATCGCTCCATGAGGCTGCCCTGCGGAGAGCAGCCACGGCCCGTTGTGCCTCTCGCTGAGCTCACGAGTTGAAGGTGTAACCCCGCGGCCGGCGCTGGGGCTCCCGCTGCTCCGCTGGTTTATTTTGGTCTGCGGAGCTCCAGCTGTTGGAGGGGTCCCGGCGCAGCTGGGCCCATTCCCAGCCCGAAGCAGGGCAGCGTTTCCGGACACGGAGGGTTTCACAGTGAGCGAAGCCAGAACGGTCCCTCCGAGCGCAGCGGCGCCAGCCTCGCCCTTGGACTCATGCGGATGCAGGAGCTGGGATGAGGGACAGGCTCGTGCCCCTGCCTGTCACCAGTGCTCCCCACAATGAGAATGCGCTTTTATACTGTTGAGTATAAAAGTTCATTGCAGAGACTGGGCACCCCTGGGTGCAGGTGCCGCGCGAGGTGCTACGAGAGGGGCCCCGCTCCTTGCCTGGGATGCAGCGCAGGGACCTCCCGCCGGCACAACGGGAATGTCAGTCCTGGCCCGGGATGCAGTACGGCAAGGATGTGCATCCTGCCGGCACAACACCTTTCCCGGGATGCAGCACGGCAAGGATGTGCATCCCGCCGGCTCAGCGGGCTCCTCAGTCCTTGAGCAGGCCGAGCTTGCGCAGGGCCTCGCGCCGGTGCTCGCCGGCGGTGCCCGCGGGCGCGATGCGCACACTGACGCCGGCGGCGCGCGGCGCCCGGGCGGGCAGCGCCTGCGCCCGCCGCTGGCCGCTCTGCTCCAGCTCCGCCCGCAGCCCCGCCAAGTCGCTGCCGGTGCCCAGGGACGCGGGGCGCGGGCGGCTGCTCCGCAGGAAGCCCGGCGTGATCCTCTCCATGAAGGACATCTTGCCCAGCGAGCCGCCGCTCTTGGCGCTCGCGTCCTTGCCACCCACGCGGCTGCCCAGCCCCACGCCCGAACGCTCCAGCGTGTTGGATTTGAAGCCGATGACCCGGGGGGGGAGTCGCTCCGGAGAGTCGGCGGCCCCGGGTGCCGCACCGGGTTTGGGGGCAGCAGCGGCTTTCGGGGGGCTCCCGGGCTTCTTCTTATCCTGCGGGAGCCCCAGCTTCTCCAGCGCCTCGCGCCGCGCTCGGTCCCGCTCCTGGGGCTCCGGCCGTGCCGGGCTCGCCCGCTCCAGCGCGGGGCCCGGCGGCACCGGCCCGTTCCGGCTGCTCTTCAGGACGATGTTGGGCGGCAGCTTCCTGGGCTTGGGGGCGGTGGGCGGCCCGCGCTTGGCGTCCGTGTCCTCCTCGGCCGCGGGTTTCTGCTCCTGGCCTCGAGCCTCCTGCGGAGCTGCGGGCGGTGGGACGCTGGTCGGTCCCGGCGCCCTGGCCGTGGCGCTGGCTCCTTCCTCCCTGCCCGTCTCCCGTGCCGGTGCCGGCAGCGGGTGCCCTGCGGTGCCGTTGGACGCGGCGGCTGCTCGCGGTGCCTCGGCTGCAGCGACGCTCCCGGCTGGAGGGCAGCACGCCGGGCTCGGAGCAGAGCTGCGGGTGCCCCTGTCGTCCTGCCCGTTGCTTTGCTCAGCAGGGCCCTGCGGAGCCCCACTCGGCGACACGGCCCCGTTTTCCAGCCCTACACAGCGGGAAAACACCAGGTCACACATCCCGCCCCAAGGAGCTGATCCGGGGGCCCCCTGGGCACCCACTTACCGTGGGGAGCGGATTCCCTCCTGGACCGCGGAGGCCGGGCGGGCTCCACGGGGTCCGTCTCATCCAGGGAGGTGCCGCTGTCCACGTCCGTGTCCAGCGAGCCGATGGTTTCCTCCAGGAACTTCAGGCACTCCTTCTCCTCCACAGAGAGGCAGTCGTAGCCGCTGTCGCTCTGGGAAAGAGGACAGGAAAGTGGGGCAGGCAGGGGACAATTTGGGTCACAATAGGAGCAAACTCGTTGAATTGACGGTCTGTGGGCACAGTCACCCACGCTGAATAGCAGAAACCTCTCTTAACACCCCAAATACTGAAGCTTTTTGGGTTTATGGTGGTCCTGCTCCTGGCCCTTCATGACACGCCAGGATTTTGAGGTGCACAACAAGGCTCTGTTTAATTTTTGTTGTGTTTCAGCTATGGGGACATGCGACTGGTGTGGAAGGGCCAAGTCACAGGGCAATTTATCATGGAGAACCCGAATCCGGGGAAAGGAGGAAGTACTCAGCGCACCCGCAAGCCCGGGGAGACGCTGGCACGGGTGGGGTTGTTTTGCAGAGGGATCTATCCGGATCTTGTGCCATGCAATATTGCAACCAGCTTGTCCACCCCTAATAATTTGCACAGGGGCTTGTTGCTGGCTTGCAGTGCCTCAGATGGAAAACCTGTTCCGGCCCGAGCGCTGCACCAGCAGATACCAATTACGCTCCGAGTCACAGGATATAATTAGTCCATCAGTCTCGGAATCAGTTTGGAGGCAAACAAGTTTTAATGGGCAGATAGTGAAAAGTTATGCACCTACACCCATGGCCCGAGCCCTTCTCCGCCTGCGCACCCCAGTCACTCTCCCGGCTCCGGGTCTTTCCCGGGTGCAGCTGCCTTGGTGCATCCAGGGCCACCCGGTTCCCCGCGAGGGACCCGCAGCTCCCAACACTCCGTGTGGGGATAACGGGGGGTGGCTCCAGAGGGTGTCCCCAAGGGCGCCCCGCAGCACCCCAGGGTGAGCAGGAGCTCGGGGTCCCACCGCACCATCCCCAGGGTTACTTACGCGCTCGGCGCGGAGCGGGGCGGCGCTGGCCGCGCTCTCGCGGCTACCAGGGCTGCAGCCGGCCCGGCCCAGCCACGGGCCCCTCTTGGTCACCCCGCCGGTGGCCGCGGCCATCGCTTCCAGCTGCAGCAGAAGGGACAGTGGTTAAGCAGGATGCCCGGGGACGCACGAGGGTGCAAAGCTCCGGGTCCAGGCGCGCTTGCACCGCGGCTGCTCGCATGCGGGAGAAGGTGTCAACGGCCTTTGGCTTTTAAGCATCCTTTGGACACAAGGGTTTCCTCAAGGAATTAGAGCCTGAAAGCGCTCCGGGACGTCTGCCTGCCAGTATCTCCTTGATTTGCTAACCTGCTCCAAGGTGGAGCCCATTGGAGACATGTGAGGCCCTTTGCAGCCTCCAGCCTGGCCAGCCCAGAGGGGTCCCGCTGGCCTCCACCTCCTGCCTCAGCATTGCCCATTGCTTGGCTTAAATGTGCTCAAGCAAGCTGGCCATGGGCTTTTAAACCACCTGGCAGAGGGGTTTCCAACAGCAGGAACTTCCCAGAGATGGATCCGGATGCTCGGATCATCAGAGCATCGGAAAAGCGCCCACAAGCCGGCTCACCGCGGTTGAGGGTCTCGCAGCCCCCAAAGGCTTCATCTTCTACACAAATTCAGTCGGAGCAAGCAGCCTTTCCAAAGCAGCCAGGCCCAGGCTGCTCCGCATTTGGGTAGATTTATGGCCAAAAAAGGGTGAGACTGGGGCCAGGAGGCTCCGCTCGGCCAGGCCGCCTGTGACTGCCAAGGACGGGCAGGGAAACAGCCCTGTCCCTCTGCCTGCCCCGACAGCCCGGGGGAAGAAGGGATCCTGCACCGCCTGCCTGGCGCTAGAGGCAAAATCCGCTGCGAAACTGGTCAAATTAAAGAAAGAAAAAAAGAGGAAAGAAACATGCAGAAATGGAGACACCCTCCTGCAGTTTCCCCAGCTTCTGCCTCTGACAGCTTGTCCCGTTCCAGGAAGGGAATGGGGAAATCAGAGCGGCAAAACCCCGGCCTTGAGGGCTCCCAAGGGGGTTACGTTTTCCTCCCTTTCGCTTGCAAAATGACACACCACAAATCGGAAACGCAACCGAGCTTCGGAATGGGCAGACATAACGCTGGAAGAGCTGACTTTCAAGGGACACGTCCCCCCCTCGCCACTGAAGCGTGGCCGGCCGCCCCACACCGAGCGGACCGTCCTCGGAGCCGGCGGCAACGGCGGCATCTCCGCAGAGCTGCCCTCGGAGCATCAGAGCAACTCCACGTTTTCCTCCTACAAGACACCGGAGCAGCGCGCCCCGGCTCGCAGGCGCCTGCAAAGGGCCCGGCGCCGCACGAAAAACATGTGCGGGGAAGAGCCCAGCCACCAAGTTCCTCCCAGGGCCCGGTTTGCTGCAGAGAGCAGCAGTCCGCCCGCTGCCCCGTCCCGCGCTTACCGGCGAGGCGGCGGGGCGCCGTGCGGAGCCGCGTCCCGCGGGGTCCGCGCGGGAGAAGGGCCGCGGGCAGCGGGACACGGAGCCGCGGGGTCCGCGCGGGACACGGAGCGGCGGCGCGCGGCACTGGCGGGGCTGGCGGCGCCTCCCCGCGCTGCCCGTTGCTCATTAACCCGGCAGGCGCTGATAAGCGCCGCGGGGACGGGCACGGGGCAGCGCCAGCCCTGGGTGCTCCCGGCGCTCGCCCGGCTTCACTCCGCGCTCGGCGCCAGCTCTGCCACCTTCCCATCAGCTCGCAGCGCCCGGCACCCCACAAAAACGCTCTTTCTGCCCCAAACCGGTGCCTGCGGAGCATCCGCTCCATGCATCCCGCCACAGCTCTGTTTTCCCGGTTTCCCAAAGAAAGGAACGAGCAAAGTCGTGTTGCAGCCTGCTCGGGGCGCCCCAAGGGCAGCACCGCTGGCACGCGCAACCCACAAGCTCCCGCTGTGGAAAAACACCCGATTTTTGGCCAATGACTAAAGCAGCGGGATGGCAGCGAGGTCCCACCAGCCCGTCCCGCTGCTGGCGAGCAGAAACAGAGTGCTGCAAACCCCAGCCAGAACTGACCGCTGAGCAGGGACGAGGAGACACAACCGAGCCCACGGGTGCCGGCGGCGCCGGAGCACCCGGCTTCAATCCGCGCCAGGAAACGCCGAGAGCTGCTGGCCCAAGAAAGGCTGAATCAAGAAATCAACATCAAAAACATGTCAGACTCTATTAAGATAAGCCCTTGGCTGCTGAGAAAACCAGTTTGGGAGAATTAGATGCCCAGAGAGAACCTGTTCTTTTGCTTTTTTTTTTTTTTTTTAACCGCGGTCTCCTTCCTCCAATTGGTAAAAATAGTCCCAGCCTAAACCAAGGCATGATTTCATACGTGCGGTATGAGGTGTATTCGAGCAGTCGGAGGTGCGGGCGAAGCCGCCGGTGCAGCGCGAGGTCTTGGCACATCACGGGGCCTCTCCCTCGGCAGCAGTGCAGAAGCACCAGGTGTTTTATTTGGGCCCCATTTCTAGTAAATTAATTAAAAAAAAAAAAGGACAATTAATACTTAATATTACACTGCACTATTTTTTTTCCTAGCGTCCTGTTTTGCAATGCCCGGGGTGGCGTATGCCAGATCAGGGCTGCGGTGCTGGAGCCCCCCCAAAATCCCTGCAGTATCGGGAATGCAGAGGCTGCCTTGGAGAGCGCGAGCTCCAAGACAGGGAGGATGAGTGTGATGGGCCTTCCTCTGCCCTCACCCCGCTCCTCACCCACATGTATCCCAAGCAGCGGCCACAGCCAGCTGCAAATAAAACAGGGGGAGCTCCAGGAGCCGGAGCCCCCCTCGGCTCCAGCCCCGGGAAGGGCTTCTTGCCACGACCCTTCACGTGGGCACCAATTTTACTAATAGTTTTCTGCATCCTGGTGGTTGCGCTGTCAGATCCCGTCTCCCTTGACATCCACAATAAAAAAATTTATGTCCAAACACGAAGTCTATTTTCCACAGAGTTCTTTTTTGCTTTATCAAACAGTTAGGGGTTATTTTTTGTAGTGGTGGTGTTTTTTAGATTTTATTTTATTTTATTTTATTTTATTTTATTTTATTTTATTTTATTTTATTTTATTTTATTTTATCCTTCCCTGAAAACAAGATAAACAATTAAGCCACAATTAAGGTCCAACAAGGCCCATGTGCTGGCCTCCAGCTGAGCCTCGTTAGGGAGGCTCCAGCCCCCTTAGCCCAGGGCCAGCAGGCACCTATATAATGAGCCAGGCAGCAATAGAGCCCCCTTTGCAGGAGGAGGCTGTGTCCTAGATGGAGCTTCCCAGGAATTTGCTGCCTTGCAGGATGGTGGGGATGGAAGCTGGAGGTTCCTTGCACCAGGATGGAGGTGCCTGCCCCTTGGGAAGGCTTCTGGCAGCTGGGCAGGCTCGCTATGGGCAGCAGAGGAGCTGGGTGAGCCCTTGAGTGGAGCTGGTGGGTCCCAAATCACGCAGGAGCCCCTGGAGAAGAGGTGAGTGCGGGTGCTGGGTGCTCCCTCCTGCTGGGCCTGGGTGCCCATCTGCTGCCCTGCTCCCTGGAGAGGTTGGTGTGTCAGGGCTCGACTCCGGGCTGCTCTGGTGCCCAAGGCACGGCCATCCAACAGGTATTTCCACCTTGTCACGCAGGCAGGGAAGGGCCTGCAAGAGCAGGGAGGCTCCTGTACCCGCTCCGGGAGCTCCACGGCCTCCAAGGGCCTCTTCCCAAGCGTGTGCAGCACACGGATGAGCTGCAGGAGCTATGGGCTGCTTTGCAGCTGCAGGGTTGTGGTCCTGTGGTGGTGACCCCGTTGTGTTTATGGAGCTGTGCTGGATATGGGAATTCTGCAATTCCCCCGTGGGAAGGAGGGGCAGAAGGAGCCACCCTTCCTGTTGATTTAGGTGGGGACGTCAGTACGTAAGGAGCTTAAGGAAACCACTGGGGAGCAACGACGAACGTGGTGCGGAGCTGCAAGTCAGGAACTGAGGCACAGAGCACGCCAAGCACGTGTGCATGCATCAGCCAGGTTTATTGGTGCATCGACAACATTCACAACTCAGGGCATGTGTTTAAGGAAATACTCATCCAAAGGAGGCGTGCTGTGATGGTAAACAAGAACAGGCTGTCGCTCCACAGGAATACACTGGTAGCTGAGATTGTAGGAACTCTTTGCTAAAGCCACTTGTTTGATGGCAACAGGAACACGCTCTGCCTACACAGGTGAAAGTCCTTGCTTAATATCTGCTAAACATGTAAACCTGGACAAGCTTTTAAAGTGCTGATACTCATCTTGCGGTTTCGACTCTGCACACAATATAAAATGCTTGTGAAAGGCCACAGATGAAGAGCTTGTTAGGCTCTTCTTTAATTCACGAAGGAATTTAGTGCTGGTGAAAGGGCCAGAGCGGCACCAGGAAACTGAGATCCCCTCTCTAATCACAAATCAGACCTGGCGGCTCCCCCAAAGGGGCACTGATAGGGCCCAACTTTGATAAGCTCATCTATGAGCTTGAAAAGTTCAGTTTCCAGAGCCTGCTTGATCGTGGAGTATTCCGCAAGGAAAACGGTGCTTATTTGGGATCTGTGCGGGGAACAGTTGTGTGGCAGGGACACAAGGCCAGCCCCACAGGTGTCTTGAGCAGCATGGACCAGGGATGCTGCTCCCTGCCAGGACCTGAGCCCCTCAGCACATCCAGCCCAATATCTTCCTAATCTTCCAGTCATTAACCTAGTAACGGCTCAGTGCAAGTGTATTAATGATATTGAAAGGCTCTTCTACATACAGCGGGATGTCATTTTTGTGATATTTCCCTAACTGGATCATTAAATGCAGGTAAATGCTGGCAACAGACACTAGCAAAACATTTACGACTGCACTTCGACTGTACTCCATCACTTACATTTCCAAATGATGCAGATGTTTTCTGCTTGGGAGAGTTTAGGAGAATCACAAGATCTTTTCCAAGTTCTTGTCAACACCACAGGTTACTTTTTCTTTAAAGTATGTTGAGGCTGACAACGTGACCTCTTACAAAGATGAATCACAGCAGTTCAGTTGCCACTTCTTAACTGAACAGATTTATTTGATACAGCTAGAGAAGACATCTAAGCGGTGATGTTGATGGATATCCCTTGAATCGGATATGCTTTGTTAGTGGCATGACCAGGCACATGTGATACAGCAAAGCTAAACAATCTGGATAAATAAGGTAGCATCAAAAATACCGCAATTGAGAAAGGAAAATATTTGTATATGATTTAAGAAACCCACTCGGGATGCAAAGCTAAAAACTAAACTCCGCAAGCCTATAGTTTCTCTCTAGACAAAGTGAGGCCAAACAACAGAAATCCCACAAGTTGCTCCCAAAAGTCAACACATTTACAAACGAGGCAGACAATCGATATGTGTCTTTGACTTCTACAGCCCTCTCCTTTCGGGGACACCCAAAGGCAGTCTCCCCATACCCCTCTCTGAGGTAGATACGATGTCTGTTGTGTAGATGGTAAGTGGTGAGGAGCGGCTCCTTCTCCTTGCTCCATCTCACCTCTTCAGTGCGAAAGCTGAGAATACAGTTTAGGATTGATAGTCTCTTGGTCTCACTCCTAGATAGGATTTCATCTCAAGTAGTTATAACAGTGTAATCTTCAAGCTCCTTTGAACTGTTGGGTATTTAGGTTATAAGCATCAGCTTCTAGAGGGGTTTTTAAATAAAATTTTCTACTAGGCTAAAAGCAAAGTGGGGCTTAACACGAGAAGCTAAGTGGTTTTCTCTAAGTAACTCCCAACAGTGCTAATGTTGACTTTAATACTGAATTTAAATGAACGTGGGTCCATCCTGCTTTCGGTGATCCGACTCTTTCTATTGAATTATTCATGCCTCATTTTAGCAATGTACTTAAGTGTAGCTACAGTCCATTTTCTGTAATATCCCCTCAGTATTTCAAGGTCTATCAGGGAGTCTCAGCTGAGAACTTCAGTGAACCACCCTCTGCCCTTGATGGCGAAGGAAGCTCTTGCTGCACCAGTTTAGCTAATGTGCCTTAAAAATGAGGCCTTGGAAACTACAGCTCAGATTCCACTGAGAAACTTCCCTTCAGTTTGAGGAGGAAGGTTCTTGCTCCCCATTTATAGCAGTGCAGAGAAGGTAACTGAGTAACAGAACAGGGTAAGAATACGCTTAAATCCATTAATGCAAGTATGTGTTACAGGCATTGCAAAGAGAAACCCTTGCCAGTAATATGCCCCTCTACAGCACCTTTTAAAGGATCTCAATGCACTTATTACTCAGCCTCACATCCTCACTGTGAGGTAAGACTCGTTAAACCACTTTCAACATCCCTGATTCTGAGTAACAGCAGAAGTGGGGCAGTTTACCTAGCTTATTTTATTACGAAATTCAACTGCTCCCTTCATTATCAGAATTAAAGTCTTGCTGCTTAAGAGTCATCGGTGACAAATCAGGCTCATTAAGGCAGAATGCAGACTAGGAAACTTCCAGGCTCCTTTTTGGCTAAGCACTCTGCCCTTCTAAAAAGGGCAACACTTTTTTACCTGTAAAGAATGAGAACTACCCCTTAAAGTGCTAATTTTTACAGTATTGGGAGTCTGGTATAGCTTATCAAGACTGCAGCCAGGAGACTGGCTATACCCAAGTGAAGTCTAAGTGTGTTGAACAGATGTAAATTATTTCCCTCATTACCACAACTCCCTCTTGCCAGAACTGAAGGTATTATGAACAAGAATACAAGTATTTCAAGAAACATGCCTACGTTTTGATGCAGTGTAAACACCAAGGGCTTGCTAGTTATTTTTAAAGCAACTAAAAACTACCTATGGAGCTTTAGTAAGTTTATTCATTAGTTAACCAGCTACTCATTAATTTTAAAAAGCCTATCTTAAAGCTTAGAGGCCAGTTCTTTCTCTAAAGCCACGACTTCACACAAACAATACATTCTACTCTCGATGGTAACACCATATAGGGCAGCTTTGGGTATATTTTTTCCTTTAAAGATTGTGTACCAAGTGAGCAGCTTGTCCCTACAAGGCTCTGCTTATGTGTAGAGTCCAACTCTTAGTGTAAGTAAAGCTGATGTGTGTTTCCCAAACCTGTAGGCTAGTTTAACTGCCCTGAAAATGTGATATTGATGGACTAATTAAGTAATTTAGAGGCTAAATGCTGCTCTAGTGTTGAACAAGCTCAGATCGCGTACACAGCGGTTGGGTTTTAGCTGCCAGTGTAGACCACCTGCCAAATGACTATCTATCAGCATGCGAGAAAAAACCTATTTCAAACCAGCCAGAAAAGTCACTACTTGCATACGCACCCCTCAGCCTGCGCACTACCCTAGCGTCCCCGAGCGCCTCGGCCCTCGTTACGTTAATACGCTTTTCAAGCTCTGCGAACAGGATTTTACGATTACATACAGCTTATGTGATAACCCAGAATTTAATTCCGGACCTGTGAGGTAGGAGCTGCCACCACCCCCGGGGAGGGGGTCACACTTCCCCGAAGTTGGTGTGACCCGTCTCCTTGGCGTGTTCCCGGGCTTCCGCTTGGCCCGTCAGTCCCTTCTGGCACACCATGCACCTCAGCGTGAAGCGGTTGACGTCGGTGAACTGCCTCTTGCGCCTGGCTTCGTCCGCCAGCTCCAGCGCCTGCGCCAGCACCACGTCGTCGGCCGTGGAGAAGATGGTCTGCGGGGGAACGTCCGAGTCGGGGATTCTGCGCTCCAGGGGGTCGTAGTGAATCCCGTCGTAGATTAAAAGCACCCGCTTGGTGTAACCAGCGTCTTCCCCAAAGCGGTCGATCCGGACCGTCTGTGTGTCCACTACACAGATCTCGCACTGGTAGAACTTGGACAAGATGGACACCTCGATGGCGCCTCCCCAGGTCTCCTCCTTGCGGATCCACTCGCAGTACTCCTGGTTGGTCTTGCCCAGCACGGCCTCGCTGTAGGCCTCGGGGTCGCTGGCCACGATGTGGGCTATGAGGCCGCGCATCTCGGGCGCGCAGGCGGCGTCGAAAACGCCGCCCTCCACCACGTAGGAGACGCTGGTGAAGAGGCAGGAGTTGTCGGCGGGGACGACGCGGCGGGCCAGCACGGGCGCTGCCGGGCTGCCCATGGCCCTCTTGGCGAGCGGCGGCGACGCGCGCTGCGCCGGCGGCTCCTCTTCCACGATGAGTGTGTCGCCTGCAGGGAGAGGGGCAGGGACAGGGATGAGCGGGCCGGATGGGAATGCGGCCGCGGGAATGCGGCCGTGCTCCCACGGCAGGGGGTTCCTGAGCGAGGGGTTGAGCTGGTTTCTCCCCCAGGAATGTGCTATCCGGGCAGGAAACACCCCTGTGCATGCTCGGCTAAGTGACGTATATTGACGCTCAAATATTAAGATATAAAGATATTAAGGCATATAGTCTCAGATAAAAAGTATAAGCATGTTATATATACTAAGACATACTATAACATAGAAAAAGATGTACGTTAAGGTAGCTATATAAAAGGTCTATAAGAAAAGATATATTCTGATAGCGTTTAAAGTATATATAAACATATATATTACAGGTCTATAAAAGGACCTTAGTCCTTAATATTATGTAGGACATGCATATTATGCACATATGTCCTTTTATAGACAATATATAAATATATACAACTATATTATATCTTATGGTCTACAAAATGACATGTATCAATATATGGTATATAAGGTCTACACAAGAACATATATGCTATATATGATATGTATGGCCTACAGAAGGACATATATGGTCTACATAAAGAGATATATAGCAATATGCATGATATATATGGTCTAAGAAGGAGGTATCTATTAAGATAGAGCTCTGTGAAGGTGTATAAAAGGGTTTGCATTAAGGTAAGCGTATAAAGGTATATGATAGATAGGAAGGTCTATAGAAGGGTATGGATAAGGGTAGGCGCACGCGGATCCCTGCGGGTATCAGCGGGGCGAGGCTCCCGCGGGGCCCGGCTCACCCGAGTGGATGCCCAGCTCGCCGAGGCGGCGCTCGCCGTCGCTGAGGTCGATGTGCCGCGGCGGGAAGCCGAGCAGGAGGCGCTGCGCGGCGGCGGGCACGCCGGTGAGCGCGGCGAGCGCGGCCTGCATGTCGCGCAGGCGGGAGTGCGCCGTGAGGCCGCCCAGGGCGTGCGAGCCGCTGCGGGCCTTGCAGCGCAGCCGCAGCATCGCGCCCGCCG